TATAGGAGTCTAAAGCATGAGTTTAAAAGACCTAAGGTCAGAAAACAAGAGAAGATTTATTATATAATATTTCAGTTCTAAAATTTGCTAATGGCAATAACCCAAAATGCTGCACCAAAATGACAAAGTAGAAAAACTAAAATAGTGAAATAAGTGCTGTAAAAAAAGTAAATAAAATACCACAATATCGATAAGTATACTAGGCACAGTAGCTCAATAAGTATGCTTAGATAGATATATTGATAAGGCACAGTAGCTCAATAAGTATGCTTAGATATATCTATCAATGAGTATATTTTGCAGTACAGTAACTTGCTAAGTAAACTCTAGTGTCCCAGCGGTACTGAGATAATGAGCACCAGCACATGTCTGTGTTGTCAGGAAAAAGTTAACTAGTGATAGCCATCATGATAATGCAGGGGGAGTAGAGATGGAACAAAAAAGAAATGACTAAATGGTCAAACGGAATATGGGTCCTGCTATACTGCATATATATAAATGCTAGATTTGATATATAGGTTAGCCTTCAAGATGAAATAGCGTATATTGCAAGCATATGTTTGCTAAATACTCCCTAAGGTCGCAGGAGAAATACTCTGCAAGCAGCTAGAATGGTGATATGCAGACTACAGGTCCTGATAACGTGTCAGCATATTAAAGATAAAACAGCGTATAGTGCAAGCGTATGATTGTTAGATACTCCCTAAGGTCGCAGGAGAGATACTCCGCTAGCAGGTAGAATAATGATATGCAGACTACAGGTCCTGATAACGTGTCAGCATATAGTTGCTAAGTCATGAGTATTAGCCCACTTAACATATGTAGCGGTATAAAGTGCAAGCATTTGAATGCTAGATGCAGTTAAAGGTTGCGAATGAAAACCACTTACATTGTAAGTTCAGCGTCTAGTGATATGCACTGTAATTCTGGGTGCAATTGGTGACAATGCTGGTAATGTGTAGTCTACAACTATAGACGGTGCTCTGCTAAACGCAGTGAATAGAACCTGTAGACCGCGCCAAATAATATGGCAGTCAGGATACTGATAGTGGGATAATCAATATCAGAGTAACATTCATTCTGGTGAATCACAAGGATAATTCTGCTGCTGGATTTGGCGGACTAAATAATATACAGTTGCAAGAAAAAGTATCTGAACCCTTTGGAATGATATGGATTTCTGCACAAATTGGTCATAAAATCTGATCTGATTATCATCTAAGTCACAACAAAAGACAATCACAGTCTGCTTAAACTAATAACACACAAAGAATGAAATGTTGCCATGTTTTTATTGAACACACCATGTAAACATTCACAGTGCAGGTGGAAAAAGTATGTGAACCCTTGGATTTAATAACTGGTTGAACCTCCTTTGGCAGCAATAACTTCAACCAAATGTTTTCTGTAGTTGCAGATCAGACGTGCATAACGGTCAAGAGTAATTCTTGACCATTCCTCTTTACAGAACTGTTTCAGTTCAACAATATTCTTGGGATGTCTGGTGTGAATCACTTTCTTGAGGTCATGCCACAGCATCTCAATCGGGTTGAGGTCAGGACTCTGACTGTGCCACTTCAGAAGGCGTATTTTCCTCTGTTTAAGCCATTCTGTTGTTGATTTACTTCTATGCTTTGGGTCATTGTCCTGTTGCAACACCCATCTTCTGTTGAGCTTCAGCTGGTAGACAGATGGCCTTAAGTTCTCCTGCAAAATGTCTTGATAAACTTGGGAATTTATTTTTTCTTTGATGATAGCAATCCGTCCAGGCCCTGATGCAGCAAAGCAGTCCCAAACCATGATGCCCCCACCACCATACTTCACAGTTGGGATGAGGTTTTGATGTTGGTGTGCTGTGCCTTTTTTTGCCACACATAGTGTTGTGTGTTTCTTCTGCCACACATAGTGTTGTGTGTTTCTTCCAAACAACTCAACTTTGGTTTCATCTGTCCACAGAATATTTTGCCAGTACTGCTGTGGAACATCCAGGTGCTCTTGTGCAAACTGTAAACGTGCAGCAATGTTTTGTTTGGACAGCAGTGGCTTCCTCTGTGGTATCCTCCCATGAAATCCATTCTTGTTTAGTGTTTTACGTATTGTAGATTCGCTAACAGGGATGTCAGCATTTGCCAGTGACTTTTGTAAGTCTTTAGCTGACACTCTAAGATTCTTCTTCACCTCATTGAGCAGTCTGCGCTGTGCTCTTGCAGTCATCTTTACAGGATGAAACAAAAAGAGAGAGAATTCCAGAAAGAATGTCTCTGGAATAACTGGTAGGAAGTCCCTCTGTCCACCAAATAGGTATATGTAAATTAAATTAAAATATAACTTTTATTATTCATAGAGGTAAAATATAGAAACCAAAAATAAAAATAAAAAATAAAAATAATCAATAGAAAGACAGGCATGAAAGTATATCTGCTAATAGTACCATGTGGGTATATGAATTACCTACTAATTTATGAGGCAATATAATGTCAACTGATATATATAAACATTTTTGTATTCTGCACAATAAAGCAGTATTTATTTTGATATAAAACGAAGATTCCAGAGTGCTCTCTACTTGGATGCTATATATTGGTCAGAGATTACTTGCACCGGAGCATGGAAAAGACCGGGAACATTGAGTGTTGGGACCTGGGGAAAAAATAAATATATATATATATATATATATATATATATATATATATATATATATATATATATTAAATGAAGGCTTGCACTCACGGTCTTTTTCTTGTATAAAAATTTTCTCCTTTATTTTAAGTTTCTTAAAACATAGTCTCCAATAGAATCTATTGGAGACTGTTTTAAGAAACTTGAAATAAAGGAGAACATTTTTATACAAGAAAAAGACCGTGAGTGCAAGCCTTCATTTACTATTTCTGTGATATTTGACTTTGGCTAGAATGCACCCGGCATTTATATAATTTAAAAGAGTGTGTGCAGGAATCAAAAGGAATATTACTATATATATATATATATATATATATATATATATATACACACATACATATATATACTCTACATGTTTACTTATGTAATCATTTATTTAATTATATAATTCACACTGGGTCCCACACTCCTGCTCCCAGTCTTGTTTATTGAATAGGTGCCACTCCGACCGCAAAATATAAAATACTTTGTTGGAAGTGCACTCACAGGACTCGATACTGTTGCCAAAAAAGTGCCATTTATTCAAGCTTCAAAAGTTGATTACATAGTGTCAACGTTTCAGTCCTCTAGGGACTTTTTTCAAGACAATCTAACAATGTGACTCATTGCATTTAAATATACACTGTGAACTGTTGATTGGAGGGTAAAGGAAAAATAACGAGGTTCAATTACATCACGTGTATTGTGAGTATAACATATGGTACCAATTACTAAAATGTTTAATTAATTATATATACAATATTCAATAAAATCATTGAACATACCTAAAGTGAAAAAACTCAAATGTTTACATATATACAAAAAATGACAAAAGCAGAGAATGCATACTGGACCAGAGCGATCGGTATACAATCAAAGTGGTATCACATACTGACCGAGATACAGAGTTTCACTCAGAGACAGCTGTTAACTCCTACTACCCCAGGTCCAAGTATGTATCAGCATGGGGGAAATCTACACATAAAAGCAGTATAAAATCTGATATTTAACCACAAAATGCATTAAGTACATTCTTAATGTAAGATAACAACAAGGTTCAGTCTCGAACAGAATAAAGTATTTGCCGGAACTCCTATCAGACATAACTAGTCAATTATAGAAATAAGTTTGAATTTTAGCTCGATTATACAACTCATTCGTAAAAAGTCAAACGATTAGAGCAGTATAAACTATAATATATGACCACAAGGTGCACTAAATTATCAACAAAATCTTACTGCTAAATAGCAACAAAATAAAGTAAAATATTTACAAACGCTCATATCAGACATTACTAGTCGATTATGGAACTGGATTTGGATCTTAACTTAATCATATAGCTCATTCATAACAAGCTAAATAATATTAACAAATCCACTATCCATAATCTAGTAGGCATAATGCCAATACTCATTAATATAACGGATCCTAGAAAACGGGTAGATCAACTAAATATCATTAAACATATAGAATACATATTATGCCATGGAACACATATCACAGACTATCTTCTTGGTAGAAAGCATTGAAGTGAATTAATTTCATTTTGTCCATTGGGAGACAGTGTCCAATGTAAAAATCCAAAATGTCTCCTTTTGTAGCAATCACATCTCATGGTTGCCACCCCTAGACAGTCCTGGGACATGATCTATCCCCATAAATCTCAGTGAGGGCAAAGAGTGTCCCATTTTAAAAAAAATTACGTGCCACTGGAGTACTTGCACATTTGTTTGCCAACGCTGTCCGTATAGTTGAACGGTGTCCCCTCATTCTCTCACGGAAATAATTAGACGTTTTGCCCATATACACGAGTCCACATGGGCATACAATCTGGTACACAACATAGGTAGTGGTGCAAGTGATCCTATGTCGTTTTGTTTTGGATCAAAGAAAACTTTGATTATTTGTCTATCTACACCTTCCAAATTGTTTAATTAATGCGTGCACGCTTTCCCTAGAAGTAATTCACACCGGAGACAAAGTTTCTGATCAGTGAAAAACCCAGGAATGCTTTATTCCCCGGAGTGGGGGCTCCTTCTTAAAGCAAAAATACGTCACAGTTTAAACATACAGTATACATTCACCAATTGGTTAACAGAGAAAGGGGGCTCTTGTTTAAACCCCCCTACAGAATGGAGCCTTTTAAGGTGCCATTCATGCCATTCATGTAGTGTCATCATTACACACTTTTGGATACACGATGGGAGGGGGAGTGAGTGGTATCTATCAGTTCTAAACCAATGATCCTCCATTTATGGCATATAGCTGTTAACTGGCACAAAGGTAGTGGGGGAGGGGAGGCTAGCAGGATGTGAGGAATTTACATAGTAAACAGCAGCTGACCACATTGTAGGGGGGGAAGGGAATATTTACTCTAGAAGCCAGTTTTAACATAGTGAACAGAGAATAAATAGACATTAGTAAATAGCCATTTTATTTTAATTCATCTGTCCATAACAGTCCCCCCTTAAAATGGCAATTTTTACTAAAACTAATATCTCTCATTCTAATACTGTCCCTATAGAAAAATAACAAAAGGCTATCTTGCACATCTGTCTGAACAGGCCTCGAACACTTCACTGCGCGGGTACCCCATAGCAGCTTGTCCACTACTTCTCCCGCGGCAGACTTCTGCCCGTAGAGACAGACGCTATCCCTACATGTCCTTAAGAGGAAGTAGCTGTTGATTTAGTGCGGTGGGACTGTAAGGGTGTATGTGGTGTATCACGGTCGATATCGTCAATCTCTTGGTGAAGGAAGGTCGGGGTGGTCTGGTCGATTGTCTGATCAACTGTCTTTTGTAGGCATTTCTTAAGACAGGGTAACACACAACAAACAAGAAGAGCGAGGATGATTATCGTTATTAAAATGGCAACACCTATTTGGGCCAAAGCACCTTGCCATCCAGACATCCATCCAAACCATCTTTCCCATGGATCTGTGGCCCCAGAATTTCGTTTCAGTTCATTGGACAAACTCTTTAACTTTTCTATTGCCAACGTTACCTTACCATTAGGGCCTGTATTATCTGGAATATAGGTACAGCATGTCATGGTGTCTGGGAGTATTTTACATACTCCCCCTTTCTCCGCCAGGATCATGTCTAAGGCCATTCTATTCTGGAAGGTCATCTGGGAAGTAGCTTGTAATTGTTCCGCCAAACCTTGGAGGGCATCTCTTGTATAATTTACAAAACGTTGTTGGTTATAATAGATGTAATTGATCCAATTTAAATTTTTATTGGCCGTGATGATTGGGAAAATAGATTCGAACCCTGCGGACACTTCATCTCTTGCTTTAAACTCATTCGGCACCCCCCTTGGCACTCCTATGGCATCTATGTAAATATGAGGATCAAAACTGCCTTTTACAGGAGTATCTCTCTTTATTCTAGAGTATTGGTGTGATGTACCTGGGTTATCTTGGTGTCCATCAGAGATTATGTGTATAGGCATAATTACCTTAGCTAGGGCACATTCTCCCCACCATACGCCTTCCAATCTGGTTCTAATCTGCATATCCCCACAAATCCAATATATGTCTCCAAGGGATCTTATTTGTTGTTGGATTAGGGCGGGTGGAATTAGGCTATATGTGGCACAGTACTTGCCAGTGAAATTACCAAAGAATTGGCCTACCCCATCATATATACCATAACAAGTGTAGTTACCTGGGTATATGGTGATACCTTTATCTGGCTTAACATCTTTAAGGATAATTGGGTATTCCTTTACCCATGATTCACATTCCGTCCGGTCAGTTTTAAGTATAGTATAGAGACTTAGGAAACACATCTCTATCTCCGGAGGTATGTTCAAAGGGACAGTACCTAAGTGAGGCCTCGCTCCTCCACAGACATAGCAGTTAGATCTGTTGTGTTTGTTAGCGTTATATTTCATCCACTCAAGCCATAAGTTAGTGTCAGAGAAACCCGTCTCTACAGCCATAGTGTCCTCATACGTGTGGTTAGCTATAGCTATCATCTCTTTTAGAGTTTTGATATGTGGCCTAAGAGGATTAATAGTCATGTGCGTGGCACCTACCCATTCAGGTGCGTCATACATGTCCCGTAAGTAAAAGGTCCCCTGTTTATTGTATGAACCTCCTCCCTTCCAGTACATTCCCATTACATATTGCCCAGCATCTCCAGGACTGGGATGCTCTATGTTTAAAGCTAGTTTCATAGGTGTCGCCCCCCCTGGTTTCCTGAACGTCATTCTTTTCAGTAAGGACTTCCCATTTGTATCTAATCTGTCTAAGGCACTTTGTGGTTTATAGCCCCAAGCTGGCCCTGTATTCCAACCTACTGCCTTCCATGAGCTACACTCATATCCCCAGTAGTCATCAGTCACACATATGTATGGGTTCTTAATGTTAGGTATGTCTTTGTACACTGTTGACAACAATGCTGGTGGAAATGTACAATTTACAATATCACAATAATCAAATGCAAATGTGGCTACCCGTGTACTAGAGGAATTGTACCAAAATGTATAAACATGATTGTCTTTGGTTATAGCAACTTGTTGGGCCTTTATCAGACCTAGCAGCAAGAACAAATACACAAAATTCATGATGTAACAGGATCTGCTTCCTCTGGATCTGGGACTTTCTTGCAATGTGAAGCGTGTATCCAAGAGTTCTTTCCAGCCAATTTAACTGAGGTAGTCGTGGTTAGAAGGACTTGGAACGGACCATCATATCTGGGTTCAAGGGTATGTTTTCTCAGGAACTTCTTAACCAAAACCCAATCACCAGGGAGCAACTTGTGTGTGCCTGTATCGGACTCTGGATCTGGAATGGAAGAAAACACTTGGGCATGTATCTTGTTTAAAACTTGGGAAAGAGCAGTCACATAATTAACCATAGTATCTGATTGCAGTTGGAGTTGTTGAGGAAAGTAACAACCTAACCTAGGGGCTGAACCGAACAAAATCTCATAAGGAGACAGGTTAAACTTCCCTCTTGGTGTGTACCTAACACTAAACAGAGCTATTGGGAGACTCTCTGGCCAGGGCAGGTTAGTTTCTTGGGCCATCTTAAGCATTCTGGCTTTTAAGGTGCCATTCATGCGTTCTACCTTACCACTACTTTGTGGGTGATAGGGTGTGTGGAATGCAAGGGTCACCCCGAGTGCTGCCCAGACTTCCTTAGTCACTAGTGCTGTAAAAGCCGGGCCCTGGTCACTTTCAATTACTTCAGGAACTCCATATCTACAGACAATTTCAGTGAGCAACCGCTTGGCAGTGGTCTTGGCGGTCATATTAGTGACCGGGAAAGCTTCTGGCCATCCTGAGAACATGTCCACCATAACTAGGGCATATTCATACCGGCCACTCTTTGGCATCTGAATGTGGTCAATTTGGACTCTCTGGAATGGGTAGTGTGGCTTCGCCAGGTGTTTGGGGAACACTTTCTCCAATTTTCCCGGATTGCACTTGGCACAGATAGCACAAGACTTACAGTAGGTTTTAGTCAGAGTGGTAATACCTGGTGCTTCAAAATATTTAGCAATTAAAGAGTTCATGAGTGTCTTAGACAAGTGCGCTGCTCCGTGGGCCCACTGAACCACAGCCGGATACATACATTTAGGTAGACAAAATTTGAGATTGCTAGTATATACTCCATCCTGCAAGGTTGCTCCTTTCTGTTTCCAGCTTTGCTTTTCTTCAGGACTTACAGCTGCTTGCTGTTCTTTCAAAAACTTGAGGTCTGTAGGTAAGGTTTGCATGGGAAAAATAGGAATTTCCTTACCGGACACTCTTCTGTCCACTTCCCTTGATTGACATGCAGCATCTTTGGCGGCTTGGTCAGCTTTATGATTGCCATATGTTTCTTCCGAATTCCGTCTTCCATGGGCTTTTACTTTCAGTATGGCCACTTCTTCAGGAAGGAGTAAAGCATCCATCAATTCCTTGATAGCTGTACCATGTTTAACTGGTGTACCGGTTGCTGTCAGAAAACCTCTTGTTTTCCATATTAATCCAAAATCGTGTGCTACGCCCAGGGCATATCTTGAATCCGTGTAAATATTAACACGTTTCCCTTCAAACATTTGGCATGCTACAGTGAGGGCTTTTAGTTCCGCTTCTTGAGCAGACATAGACGGGGGAAGTGGGGATGCTTGAAGTACCTGATCTACTGTGGTCACTGCAAATCCAGTGTGGTATCTTCCTTGTTCATCCGCAAATCTGGAGCCATCCACAAACAGTGTGCAGTCAGGATCTGGCAAAGCCGTTTCATGTACTGTAGGAAGGTGGGCTGTTTCCATCTTCATCTGTTCAAAACAGTCATGGGGAACATCTGGGTCAGGATCTATGGGAGGGGCATCTTCACATATTTCTGTGTGATATTGTGGGTAACCAGTAGTCTTACAATTCACAGTTCGTTTGGTAACACCTTCTGTGGAGAGTTGGTCTTGATCTGTTGCACTCCATGCTTTGGCTAATGGACCAAGTTCCTTCCATGAGATATTTGGAGATTTAGTAATAGAGACATGAGGAACTGCCATCTCCCAATGGTGGTACATATGAGTCACTTCTGTGGGTAATTGAACTAACACTACAGTGTTACCTTTTGTATCACAGTATATGTCTGTCAAGGTGAGGCGTACTTGAATCAATTGAAACAGTTCTTCTTCATACTGAGGGTCAGGCCCCGGAACGTCTCTGAACCACAAAGTACAATGCCATAGAGGAGATGGCTGTTCATCGTGTGTTACTGTGGGCATATGGACATCCAGATCAAGGAAGGCATCAGGATCTATGTTCAGACCGTACCAATAGTGTGGTACTCCCCCCTTGGGAAGCGGCAGAAGAGTGGCAGGATTCAAAGTATAACATCGCTGTAAGGAGACATTATCGGGTAACATTAAAGTTGTTTGGAGACGAAGATGCCTTTGAGTAGAGAGATGTTTAGGTTGAACTTGATTCAATATTGCAGAAAGATCATGGGGGGCGAGAATGGTTAGCTTGTGACCAAGGATTATGTCACACGTCTTGTCCAGTAGAGCACTTGCCGCAAATACAGCCCGAAGACAGGAGGGTCCTCCCCTGGCCACAGGATCCAACTGACAGGAGTAATACCCTATTGGACGTTGACGAGACCCATGAGACTGAGTGAGAACACCAGATGCATGTCCCATTTTTTCGTAGACAAAGAGCTTGAAGGGCTTCTCGTAATTGGGAAGGCCCAGAGCAGGAGCAGTAACAACAGCACGTCGTAATGCGAAGAAGTTGGTAAGGGCTTCAGGAGATAAATCAAACTGTTCAGTTTTGAGGGCATCGTAGAGTGGCTGCATCAGTGTAGAGGCTTCAGGAATCCAGGCTCTACAGTAAGAGATAAGACCTAGGAAGGCATGGAGGGACTTGTGAGCCGATGGAGGGCAGAGTGATGTGATACCCCGCACTCTGTCTCTAGTAAGGTGCCGGGTGCCATGAGAAAGACAATGCCCTAAAAATATCACCGAGGGTCGGCACCACTGCAATTTCTTCTTAGATGCTTTACAACCTTGGGCGGCCAGGAAACAGAGGAAATCTTCAGAGACACATTCTGCAGTCGGGAGATCGTCAGCACAGAGAAGGAGATCGTCCACGTATTGCAGGAGGACCACCTCTGTGTGAGATTTCTGCCATGGTTCCAGGATGTATGCCATGGCTCTTGCAAACTGGCTTGGGGAATTTTGTGCTCCCTGGGGCATGACTGTCCAGGTATATTGTTGGCGGTCATGGGTAAATGCAAACAGGTATTGACAAGAGGGATGCAAAGGCACGCTGAAGAAGGCATTGGCCAAATCCACCACCGTGAAGAATTTAGCTGAAGGAGGGACCTGGGATAGAAGAGTATGAGGATTTGGAACAATGGGAGTTTCCAAGACGGTAACATCATTAACTGCTCTGAGGTCTTGAACCATCCTGTACTTGTCCGGTTCGCCCTTTTCGGTCTTTTTCTTTACTGGAAACAAAGGAGTGTTACAAGGCGACACACATTTAATCAGTGCACCCGCAGCCAGCAGAGTTTCAACCTGTTTGGAGATAGAGAGGGCCTGAGCAGGTGTCAATGGATATTGTGGTCTTCTGGGCGGACTTGCTCCTTGGAGTAACTGCACAAATATCGGAGGGACTTTAAGTCGTCCAATATCATCGGGACCAGTAGACCACAGTTGCACAGGAACTCTGTCAAGTGCACTGGGGGAGTTGTCTAGGATCCTTGCATTTCCATGGGGTGATTCCATGTGGAGTAGGAGGGGTAAAGAACAAAGGGCTGAGGTATCTTCACTGGAGAGAGGGGTCAATAACTGAACCTTGCCATCTGGAGTAAAGGAGATGGAGGCCTGCAAGCGGGACAGAACATCAGCTCCCAACAAATTAAGAGGACAAGAGGGAGACACTACAAAACGAGTAAGGAGATCAGGGAAAGTACCCACCCGCAAGGGCTTAGTTAATGGGTTGCTACGAGGGGTACCGTCTACACCTATACAGGAAACATCTATATTAGAGAGAAAGGAATCGTCAGGCAGGTCACATGCTCTAAGTACGCTACGGGCTGCGCCTGTGTCAACTAAGAAGGTGGTTGGGCAGCCTTCCACAGGTAGGACCACTGTAGCTAGGGGCCCCCCTTTATCCCCTGTATACACTGCCATGACAGGGGCATTGGACACAGGTTTGCCTGTTACCTATTGGACAAGATCAATATGAGACTGGTCAGGACCAGGATATGTACGTGTAGGTGTAGTTGGGTAGTATGGTTGTTGAGCATGCTGTGCAGGGCGTCGGTGTCTAGGCATAGGACGATTAGAGGGCAGATAATTGGCTGAGGCTCGGTCATCCGGATAATAAGTAGTATAGTTAGCATAATTGGAATCATGTGTCGGATAACCTAGCGCTTGAGTAGGAGGATAACCGGCCACAGGATACGGTGGCCGTAGAGCCTGTGTGCGCTGCCGAGGTGCTGGAAAACCTGGACAATCCTTCTTAAAATGACCTAGTTGCTTACAGTGAAAACAAGTTCGACCTTGTGGTCTTGGAACCTGAGTCATGAAAGGGCCCGGTAGTGTGGTAACAGGGAACCCAACAGGGGCAGGTGTAATTGCAGGGTCATGTAATGTAAACATTAAAGGAGTGGATTTCTTGTGCTGGGGCAATTGGATCGACTCCAGGCCTTTAGCGACCAGGAGGAGAGTATCCATGGGAATTATCCTGACTTCGGGACGGGACAGGACCAGGCCTTTCCTTATAGGTTCTTTAAGGCCTGCAACGAAAGCAGCTGATAGCATCTGGGTGTGGGCCTTATTACATGTATTGAAACCCAGATCGGAAAAGGTTTGAGTTAACCTGGAATGAAATCTTTCAACCGTTTCTGATTTTTCTTGAACAATATCAGCAATAGAAGTAGCCTGATCAGTCAACTTATCTTGAGCCCATGCACGGAGTTGTTCACAAAATGTGATACCAGACTGATAATCCGTGTCTGTAGTGAGACGGGCATCATCAAAACTCTTTTCCATTATGGGCCAGTAAGCATCCCCTGCCTTAATTTCACACAGACTAAACAAATCACGCCATGCTGCAGAGTAAGTTTTACGGATTTGAACAATCCGACGGAAAAAGGGCATGGGCTGTTTCTCAGGGTCAGGGAGTGAGTGTACTAGTGTTGCAGCTTGGGACGGGTTGAAGGTAACATACATTAAAGGGGCACCCTCCTGATCATGCTGGGTACTGCAAGCACCTGCTATGGCAATGTGAGGCAGATTAGTCGGGGTCTGTGGAGACTGCACCCCCTGGACACTACCATCAGCAGGGGGAATGGGAATCTGTTGGCTGGATACACAAGCCATGTCAGGAAGAACTGAAATCGGTCCAACAGTAGTACTGGCCGCAGGGTGACTAACTGTAGGAGTAATGTGGACCGAATCAAGTTGTGAGGCAGGGGGAGAAGTGACTGATGTAGCAGTGGAGGTAGCAGGATAATAGCCTGATGCTGCAGGGGTAGCAGCAGGAGGATAGCCTGATGCTGCAGGGGTAGCAGCAGGAGGATAGCCTGATGCTGCAGGGGTAGCAGCAGGAGGATAGCCTGATGCTGCAGGGGTAGCAGCAGGAGGATAGCCTGATGCTGCAGGGGTAGCAGCAGGAGGATAGCCTGATGCTGCAGGGGTAGCAGCAGGAGGATAGCCTGATGCTGCAGGGGTAGCAGCAGGAGGATAGCCTGATGCTGCAGGGGTACAGCAGGAGGATAGCCTGATGCTGCAGGGGTATAGCCTGATGCTGCAGGGGTACAGCAGGAGGATAGCCTGATGCTGCAGGAACAGTGGATCCAATAGTCATAATAGGGAAAGATACACTGGGGGCAGTTATGAGATGGGCGGGAATGGAAGAGGATACAGAAGGGAGGGAGGAAGCGACCACAGGGGTGTTGGTAGGGGAAGTTACCATCATGGAAGGGATGGGTGTGTTAGAAACAGGAAATGGTGACAGTGAAAGGGCAGAAGTTATAGGGAGATGTGAAAGGAATTGGGCGTGGACAGAAGCAACAGGAGTTGGAAGAGAGGGTGTAGCAGCAGAGATGGGCAAGAGAGGAGGAGGCAAAGAAACAGGAAGGGAATGTGTGACTGGGATTTGGAGTGGAGAAGGAGAGGGGGCTGGAAAGTAACATGAACCGTCTGCCTTAAGGACAGGGTACAAGGCAGCAGGGGCTGGAGAGCATGTGTTAACATGAATGGGCTGTGTGGGGGCTCCAGGGGCTGGTTGAGCCACCCCCCTTTCTGGCCAGGCCTTATCATATGGAGGAGGGCTGGAAACGCCTTCAACAGATTCAACAAAACAACATTTTTCATGATATACAAAGACTTTCTTCCCCTCTAGGTCTATCTCCTCCTCAATCCACCCCTCCTTCTTAATCCCTCGAGCCACCCGATACCAAGAATCTGCGGCCTTCATTAACCCATTATCTAACAATATCCCATGTTTATCGTTTAAAAGTTTCCTCCAGTCTTCCGCCTGCAATATGCCACTGTGGGACATAGTAATACCACACAGTTTAATAATTTTCTTAAGTTTGGCTACAGCTAAGTCCCCAGCTCTTTCCTTTACAAGGTCACATGCTAACCGACCCCGGGAAGGGCTAACATTAGTTTGACCCATTTATACACAACAGTGGTATGGATAGAGAGAAGCAGACCCTGGACCAAAAGAGAGTGAGAGACTGAGAGATAGAGAGAGAAAGAGAGAGAGAGAGAGACTGAGGTAGAGAGAATGAGGGAGCGAGAGAGTGGGGGAAGAGTGTGAAAGTAAGGGAGACAAAAAGAGTGATAGAGAGAGAGAGTGTAGGAGAAAGTGAGCAAGAGGCTGAGGGAGATAAGGTGAGAGGGAGACTGAGAGAAAGAGGTTTAGGAAGAGAGAGAGACTGACTGAAAGAGAAGGAGAGGGATAGAGAGAGAGAAAGAGACTGACTGAAAGAGAAAGAGAGGGATAGAGAGAGAGAAAGAGACTGACTGAAAGAGAAAGAGAGGGAGAGAGAGAGAGAGAGAGAGAGAGAGAGGTTTAGGAGTTATAGATTAAGGGAAACGTGCATCAAGGTCACATGTACGTCCTAGCAGAGCACAGAGAACCAGAGTGATGCAAAAAAAAAGGGAGGGGGGAGGAGAGGGTGAAGCAGAGTTGCAAGCACGAAGTATTTAACCATGTAAGTGCCTAAGCACAGCTCTCCTCAGTACAAAAGATAGAATAGGAGCGCTACAAGACACAGAGAAAATATAGAACAATTAACATATATGGTACCCGACAAGACATTTACATGCAAAAGCACAATATACAGATGCAATTAAATCACAAAGTTCTTAAAATAAATGCCGGCTTATAATAAATCAAATCACACACACAGAAACACTCAAGCACATAAACCGCTCCTTTACCGAAGCTTAGCTATTTAAACTCTTGACCGAGTCTTAATAAAACAAAGGAACCGCCAGGTTTTTTACCAAACGAGGCCAAAACATCACTCACTAGCTTCTTTACCAAAGCTTAGCTAAAATAATTTTTTTTTTTTTTTATTTTTATTTATTTTTTTTTAATTATTTTATTTATTTATTTTTAAACTCTTGACCGAGTCTCGCAATAACTTCTTTACCGAAGCTTAGCTAAAATAAATATAGAGCCAGGGGTTTTCCACCAAACCCGAACTTGGCTAAACCTGCAAGTGCTTAACCACACTTGGCAGCATTATATAACAGTATTAAGCAAGTAGTAAAACAGATTCTCAAACAGACACTTTCACACATAAAACTCACACTCAGGACTCAGGCTGTAGATAGACAAGTGACAGGTTCTATATAAAAGGGGACATTCGGGCATATCTATATTACCTGTCTGAAGACGTTAAACACCGGAAGCCGAATGTGAAGGCACGGAGAACAAGAGAAATCCAAAGAAAGGAAAATATAGGTAAGTAACTCATTTACCACATGCAGAGGTGATCAGGCTCCGTTTCCAATCTCTGGGGATCCTTTGCTCTCCTGTCTTGGGATCTGACGGCTGCCTTAGTAACGTATCCCTTTCATGCCCGCATTCTCCACCAAATTGTTTTGGATCAAAGAAAACTTTGATTATTTGTCTATCTACACCTTCCAAATTGTTTAATTAATGCGTGCACGCTTTCCCTAGAAGTAATTCACACCGGAGACAAAGTTTCTGATCAGTGAAAAACCCAGGAATGCTTTATTCCCCGGAGTGGGGGCTCCTTCTTAAAGCAAAAATACGTCACAGTTTAAACATACAGTATACATTCACCAATTGGTTAACAGAGAAAGGGGGCTCTTGTTTAAACCCCCCTACAGAATGGAGCCTTTTAAGGTGCCATTCATGCCATTCATGTAGTGTCATCATTACACACTTTTGGATACACGATGGGAGGGGGAGTGAGTGGTATCTATCAGTTCTAAACCAATGATCCTCCATTTAGCTATATATGGCATATAGCTGTTAACTGGCACAAAGGTAGTGGGGGAGGGGAGGCTAGCAGGATGTGAGGAATTTACATAGTAAACAGCAGCTGACCACATTGTAGGGGGGGAAGGGAATATTTACTCTAGAAGCCAGTTTTAACATAGTGAACAGAGAATAAATAGACATTAGTAAATAGCCATTTTATTTTAATTCATCTGTCCATAACAGTTTTTTAAACTTCTTGCCAGATCTTGGATGTACGAACTCTTTCCCAGGTGACATGGAATTATAAGCAATGCATCTAAGACATCTAAAGCAACCAAGGTTGACAGTTGCAGATGAATCTTTGATTTTGGTAAATTGATCCACATGAACAAAATGATTCTTAAGATTCTTACCCCTTCTATAGCTCATGATTGGAGTCTGTCTGAAGGGAGCCGGTAATGATATGTCCTTTGTAAATGTTTTCCAGTTGTTACGAATGATGGCAGCAATATTATGTGATTCAGTATGAAATGCTTGAGGGCAGGGCCGGACTGGGAGAAAAATTTGGCCCGGGCATTTTTTTAACACAGCGGCCCACTAAGAAGGGGGCGGGGCAGAGGAGGTGTGTTTTGTCATCACCAATGACAAACACGCCCCCTCTCAAAGTGAGCATGTTGGTTCAATGCTCTCCCAGGGCAGACCATGCGCAGAGCTCTGCTGAAGAGCTCTAGCATGAGAAAAAAGCTCTGTATTTGTTCTGCACAGTGCAAGCAAATTTAATAACATGCTTGCACTGTGTTTCCTTGCAACTTGTCTCTGGTGTCTCTATAAATGGATACCAGGAGACAAAAATGCCAGGAAAGAGTATTGTGCATGTGTTTGGAGCCTGCTTGTGGTATTGCGTGTGTGTAGAGTGAGCTGATTGTGGTGTGGTATTGTGTAATAAGGTTGGTTTTAGTCATGTTGTGTTTGTGGTGTAAAGTGGTGTAATGTGATGCATATGTGGCTATGGGCTGTAGAGAATGTGTGTATTGGGGATATAGCAAGTGTGTGCATACAGGCTATAGTGTGTGTGTGTGTATACAGGTGATGATGTGTGTGTTTAGGGGTGTAGTATGTGTTTGCTTACAAGGAATCTAGTGTGTGTATAGGTGATCCAGAGTGTGTATGTTAAGAGTGTAGGGTGTGTGTGTGTGTGTGTATATATATATATATATATATATATTTTCATTTTTTTTGGAAGTATTGTGTATGTGTGTGGTGCAGTGTTTTGGGGGGTTCTGTGTGTATGTGAGGGGTGCAGTATGTGTGTGTGAGAGTGCGGTGTGTGCGACATTGCCATGTGTGCGAGAGTGCTGTGTGTGCGAGAGTGCCGCGTGTGATGGGTGTGAGAGTTATGGGTGTGAGTGTGTGTGTGTGTGTGTGTATATGGTGTGGAAAAATTGTGATTGAAAACCCCTTCCACCTGAAGTCTGTGGATAGTTAATACAATGTTAAACAAAAATCTGCACACCAGTCAAGCCATAAGACTTGCTTTTCCCACAGGAATCCCAAATCTGCAGTGATGTTACAACTGCAAAAGATTCTGGGTGGGCATATGCAAATTAGTTTAACAAAGAATCAAATTTTTGCCTCATTCCATTTTAAACATATATATATATATATATATATATATATATATATATATATATATATATATATATTAAAATTCTACGTGTATATTTATGTGATTTCATAAATTAAAATTTGAGGGATGTGCCTGACAACCCAGGCATAAAGTCCAGAGAATTTATTTCACAAGCAATATATTTAACCCTGTTACCTTCCAAGATACCATGAAACTTGTACTCGGGAGACTTTGCTGAACACAAATATTAGTTTTTCAAAATGCTAAATTGTATTACAATGATGATGATATTGTCAGTGAAAGTTAAGTTTTTTGCATTTTCACAAACAGCACTTTCACTGATGATATTATTGTTGAATTACGTTTTACTGTTTTAAAACAGTAATATTTTTTGTTCAGTGAAGTTTTTTGAGTATACCAGTAGCCCCCATGTACAGGTTTTAAGGTGCTTTGAAAAGTTAGAGAGTCAATTATAAGGTTTGTATTTCTGTTTTTTCACATTGAAATTTGCCAGATTGGTAAAGTTGCCTATGAAACTGTATGGTAGCCCTGGAATGGGAATTACCCTTGTAGCGGAGATGCAATATTACCCAGGTTATCTCCGCTTATAATCCAAGTGGGACTCAGGAGCAAGTAAATAGTAAATCCACAGGCAAGGCTTCCAGCAGGTAAACTACAGCAATATCCCAACAGCAACCCCAATAACTGGACGACACACAGTTTCAGGAGCATAACTGAAAGCCTTTAATCACAGTCTCCTTATAAAGCATGCTCCCATGCAAGGGAGGGATTTACAGTCATTATTACAGTAGCCAATCCTGTCCTGGTAACCTCCCACACATCTCCTCCCCTCAGCCAGCATCATAATCCCCTTATCCAGCACACCAATTCCCCCCGTTTCTGGATGTACCCCTAAACGTAGGGGTACCTCTTTAAATCCTACATCCCCGGATACCCCTGATCTGGGTGAACAACATATCCAAAAATCACCCAGATCAGACCAGGGGTTCGGGAAAAGTATGGAGGGAATAAAATGACCGACCGCACGAACTGAGATAGCCGAATCCGGTTCCATGTGAATGGGCCCTGCGGTCGGTCCTGGCATAAGGGAATAAAATACATGAAAACCTCTAGCTATAGAGGCTAGGGAGGGTTCGCCTGAATCCCCTCGTTCGGTATTTTCTAACTACCGAACGAGGGGCCGTTCGGTAGTTTGGAACCGAACGGACCAGGGCTGTGGAGGTCTCAGCGGTGTTCGCCTACTCGAGTGTCCGATTTTAGTTCCAGACACTCGACGGCAAAACACAGCTGTTCGGGAGTTTTAAAATGGCCGCCGCCACGTGTTCGTTTGTCGAATGGCGGCCACCCCCGAGAACAAAGGACGGCTACTTACTGTTCAATTACCCGTTCGCAACAATGTTGCAACAGGTAATTGAGGACACACTTCACACAGGGGAGGTCTGGTTGTTCGGTAGTTTCATTCGAATAAACTAAGGGAATGAAACTACTGAACAATCAGAGGAATACAATTCTCTTTAATACATAGAAAACACAGTAGATACACGAATGCAGGTATATACAGTATATTTGTAGGGTCGCCTGGTGCTATCCGCTACACTGCTCCCCCTTGCCCACAAGCCGGCATACACAGTCTGATCCAACACGGATCGGCTTGGGGATGTCCGGGGAGGCTCACGGATCATTTCTCTAGGTCAGTTTGTCGGGACAACCCATCAGCATTTCCATTCTGTTTACCCGGGCGGTACTGGATATTAAAGTCAAAGGGCTGCAGCGCCAGACTCCAGCGCAGCAGCCGGGCATTGTCCCCAGCCACCCGGTTTAGCCATACTAACGGGTTGTGATCCGTGAGCAGGGAAAAAGCTTGTCCGTACAAATATGGCTGTAATTTCTTCAGGGCCCACACCACAGCCAGGCATTCTTTCTCGATGGCGGCGTAGCTTACTTCTCGAGGTAACAGTTTCCGGCTGATGTAAGCCACGGGATGTTCTCCGCCATCGGCCCCGACTTGGCTCAATACTGCTCCCAATCCAAACATAGAAGCGTCTGTGTGGACAAGAAAACGTTTAGTTGGATTGGGAGCTGCCAAGACAGGGGCATTTGTCAATGCATCTTTCAACAACTGAAATGCCTGTTCACACTCCGGGGTCCAGGTTACTTGGCAGGGTAGGTTTTTACAGGTCAAGTCGGTGAGAGGTTTGGCCAGGGCACTGTAATTCGGGACAAATTTCCGGTAGTATCCGGCCGTTCCTAGGAACGCTAATACCTGAGTCTTAGTCCTACGGGTAGGTTATTGAGCTACAGCCTCTACTTTGGCTGGTTCCGGCTTTTGCTTGCCGCATCCTACTCGATGACCTAGGTATTGTACTTCAGCCATGCCTATGCTGCATTTGGCTGGTTTCAGTGTTAAACCAGCGGCCCTAATCCTGTCTAGGACCGCTCCTATATGGGTCAGGTGTTCCTGCCAGGTATTGCTGAAAATGGCAATATCATTGAGGTATGCACAGGTATAATCTTGGAACCCATCCAGGAGGCGGTCCATTATCCGCTGAAAAGTAGCCGGGGCGTTTTTCATCCCAAACGGCATGACCTTAAATTGGTACAAGCCGAATGGGGTGACAAAGGCCAACTTAGGGATGGCGTCTTGCGCCAAGGGTATTTGCCAATACCCTTTACACAAGTCAATCGTGGTGAGATAGTGCCCCCTCGCCATCCGATCCAGGAGTTCGTCTATCCTGGGCATGTGGTAGGCGTCAGATACCGTCTTCTCATTCAATCTCCGGTAGTCTACACAAAACCAGGTCGTGCCGTCCCGCTTTGGTACTAGTACTACCGGAGATGCCCAGGGGCTGTCGGAGGGCTCAATCACCCCCAGCTGGAGCATCTCATCGATCTCCTTGCGCATGTTCGCCCGTACCGCTTCTGGGATGCGGTACGGGGTCTGACGCATGGGAAGTTGCCCTGGGGTGTCTGCTCTGTGAGTGGCCAGAGGAGTGTAACCAGGTACAT